CCCTCAGCGCGCCAACCGTTCCCTTGCGAGCATTGTCTTTTAGGCCGGAGTTTCACGGCGCGAACTTTGGGGGGAAAGGTGAAATTCCCAGTCGGCGAGCGGCTTGCGGCCGAGCGAAACGAGTGTGCAGTGTGGGCATCGCGGGGTCCAGCCGAGGGCTGTGATTTAGGGGCGGGCACCCGGGCTGGGTGTTCAGCCGCCTTTTGGAGATGTAGTTTGTGATGGGTTCCTAACTTTAATCAAAGCAGTTTTCAGTAAACTCGAAAGACGTTTTTCCAAAGCAGATGTGACATCTGCGCGCTCCTTCTCCTCTTGTGAATTTGTTAAGAGGCGGGCAGCCTCGCTCCTCGGCTCCCGGCTATTCATAGAAGTGCACTTAAGTGCCAGTGGCAGCTCTGGGGCTCCGGCTGGGGAAGAAGCAAAAGAGAGAAAGTAGAAATGCCGCGAGGCGGAGTTGGGGAAGAGATCTGTGCAGCCCCAGATTTTAGTCTTGTCCCAATATCCGTTCACAGAGGAACACGCCAGCTGTCTGAGTTGTGGTAGGTGTTCTACGTATTTTTAAAAAAGTGAAATAGACGTGGATTTGTGTCCTGTTTACCGCACAGGTCGGTGCTGAGATGTAGAACGCAGTAGTCCAGTGGGTGGTCTCTTTGGAAAACGAGAAGTTAGGTGGAGCGCGGGGCTTTGAAACACACTGTTGTTAACCCTTCTGCACGAGGTGCCGTTCCACACAGGTGGCCTTTGTTTTAGGTAACTTTCCTTGCTTTCCTCGTCTCGGGTAAGGCTCGTTTGACTTAGAAATCATGATATCCTGGTTTTTCCAGCTGTGTGACCTTAACTGCATTGCTGCATTTCCGATTTCTTTTATTAAACCACTAGGAACACTTGTAACTATTTTTCTTAGAGAGTTGTGAAACACAAATACGGTAAGCATTCAGGTTTTTGTAAAGCATAGAGCTTTTAATGTGTTAAAGCCATTATTTAAATTCCGGATTAATTATCTGTCTTTTCAAGATGGAATAAACAGAATTGTTTCCTGTGTAGGAGTGGGCAATCTGCTTGTTTCCTCCGTCTTCTCACTTGTGAATTTTTTCTTGTCCTCACAGTTTCCCTCTTCGCAATACTGGTTATTTCCTACCTTCCTCACCCTGGAATTAATCATTTTATTTCTTATCAGTTATAATTCAAAAGTGACACTAAAAACATATTTGTATGGTTTTAATATTTAAAAATCATTTTCACTGGTATTTTGTTTTTACATTTGGAGCAGGTGTCTATAGCATTAGTATTGTCGTCATTTTACTTACAATGAGATTAAATTTAGGAGTTGTCTAGGCATATGGCTGTTAGGAATTGAACTCAAGAGAAGACAGGTCAGATTCACAGTCCAGGGAAGCTTCACTTCTTACTTAACTGAAATTCACACTGATTGTTCCTTATCAGAACCTATATTTTTAACTTCTGGTACCCTAATTCATATTTATTTGTTTTTAAAAAATTTTTAAAATTTTTTTGGTTTTTTGAGACAGGATATTGCCGTGCAGTTCAGGCTGCCCTTGAACTCACTATGTAGCCCAGGCCGGCCTTGAATTTACAAGGATCCTGCTGCCTCAGCCTCCCAAGTGCGCTGGGGTTACAGGTGTGCGCCACAACACCGGGTTCTGTTCATTGTTTTTAAAAAAAGTTCTTAAGACTTTCAAAGTACTTTACAGGTGGAAGCACTTATGATTTTTGATTTTTGTAGTGTGAAAGTGACACACTTTCAGTAGAAATTATACTTAAAATTTTTATCCTTTCCTGTATTAGTAACTTGTGGTACTGTACTCTGATAATGCTGGATAAAAGCAGTGGCCTTCAGCCGTCAGCCAGCCACATGGTCACCAGTGGAGAAAGACTAATAATCCACAATGGCTCTGTTGCTAAGCTATGCTTAGGAGGTTAGGTGTACCAAACACGTTTTCAATTTAGGATGGGCTTATTGGCCGGAACAACATTGTAAGTCAAGGAATGCCTGTATAAACGTCCTTTTTCATTCTACTTAAACATCAGCCTCAACTTCGTCAAATTTATTCTTATAGTCAGCTTGTACACCTTCTTTGTACACCCTTGATAGGGTACTAGGAAGAGGTCAGAAAGGATTTTTTTTTTCAGATTCTTGATTGATCTGTACCTTTCCTGTTTCTTTGTTTTTTTTTTTTGTTGTTGTTGTTTGTTTGTTTTGTCTTTTTGAGACAGGGTCTCGCTATGCAGTTCAGGCTGGCCCTGAGCTCACTTTGTAGTCCAGGCTGGTCTCGAACTTGCAAGGATCCTCCTGCCTCAGCCTTCCAAGTGCTGGGATTACAGGTGTGCACCACCACACCCGGCTTTTCCTGTTTCTTTGAATTGCTCAGAATAGTAGAGTTTTAGAATTGGGCAGGGGAGGGATTAAGAGGTTATTTAGCTCCACCACCCTCCAAATCAGAAATTTTCTGTATACCTTTTTATAAAATAATAACCCAGTCTCTTTAAAACGATTGAGAGTTCACTAGTTTTTAAAATACAGTACACCATTTTATTTATAAACAATTTAGATTTTTTTTTTCAGTGAGCTTAATTTGCCTCTTCTGATTTCTGCCCTGTAGTCCTGATGTTGTTTCTAGGTCATTGTCATTGGGTGAGCTTCAGATGTGAGCCACCTTAGTAATGTAAAGTTTTCTAGTAATTATCACTTTAAAAAAGTAAAAATGGATGAAATTTTCATATTGAATCTGTTATGTAAAATATTTTGACATTAAAGTATCTCACTAATTAAAGTGTTCTTTGTACTAAGTCTTTGAAATCCGGTGTACGTTTTCTACTTAAAGTACATCTCAGTTCTCACTAGCCACGATTTATTTATTTACTTATTTTTTGAGACAGGATCTCACTATGCAGTTCAGGCTGGCCTCGAGCTCACTTATGTAGCCTAGGCTGGTCTCAAACTCGCAACGATCCTCTTGCCTCAGCCTCCCTGAGTGCTGGGATTATAGGCGTGCGCCACCATGCCTGGCACTAGCCACAATTTAGATACTTAATAGGTGTACGTGGTTACTGTATTGGACATCACAGTTCTAGAGCTTTATGGAAAAATTCTCTTAGTCCTTTCTCTACTGCTTCCTAGGCCAGTACTTGGCACATAATAAGCACTATTTTTTGAGTGAATGAATAAATGAGTAAAACAAATGTTAGAAAATAATAAGAGGTAATTTTATTTGGAAAATAAGGATTTGGCATACAGGGTTGAGTAGCAGGTTGAATCTGTATTAAAGATATTTTTGGACCAGGGATGTAGCTCAGTGGTAGTATTTGCCTAGCATGTGTGAGGTCCTAGATTCAATCCCTACTTAACATTGTAGGAAAAGTGTATTTGTATTATTTAACAATTATATACATTTATTTTTATCTTTTCAGCATTATGGATCCAAGTCTACTGAGAGAACGGGAACTATTCAAAAAAAGAGCCCTTTCCACTCCTGTAGTAGAAAAACGTTCAGTACCTTCTGAGTCATCATTGTCATCATCCTCATCATCATCGAAGAAGAAGAAAGCAAAGGTAGAACATGGAGGATCATCAGGGTCTAAACAAAATTCTGGTTAGTAGAATTGCTTAGGATTGCTTGGTTTTTATTTTTCAGGAAATCTTTTAGTAAGGGCAGATTTGTTGTTCAGTTCAGTGTTCATACTGATTTGTTTTGTTTTGGTTTTTGGAACAGGGTCTCACTGTGTAGTTTAGGCTGGCCTTGGACTCTGTGTAGCTCAGGCTAACCTCATTTTTTTTGGTCTTCTCTGTCTTTTTGAGACAGGGTTTCACTATGTAGTTCAGGCTGGCCTTGAATTCACTTTGTCCACCTGGCTGGCTTTGAGTGCTGGGATTACAGGTGTGAGGCACTATGCCCAGCCTCATATTTTGGTTTTTAAACACTTTGTTAAATATAAGGGACAGGTGGCTAAGTATGGTGGTTTGTGCCAGTGATCCCAGCACTTGGGAGGCTGAGGTAGGAGGATCACTGTGAATTTGAGGCCAGCTTCAGCTACATAAGCAAGTTCAAGGTCAGCCTGAGCTACATAGTAAGAACGTGTTTCAAACAGAACAAAACAACAATAAATACAAGGGTTGGGATCATAAGTGAATTTAAGCTCTAAAGATGTTAATGGTCTTGTGCTTAGTTAAATTTATTTATTTATTTATTTTTGAGGCAAGGTCTTACTGTGCAGTTCAGGCTGGGCTTGAGCTCACTTTTTAGCCCAGGCTGGTCTCAAACTTGCAGTGATCCTCCTACTTCAGCCTTCTGCATGCTGGGATTACAGGTGTGCATCACCATGCCCAGCTAAATTTTTTCTTTTTTGTATCAGAAATCAAACTCAGGGCCTTGCATTTGCCAGGCATATGCCTGTGCCACTGAGCTGTATCCCTGGTCCTTCAGCTAAATTTTTGATTATTACCTTTCTTTTTTTTTTTTGGTCTTTTTGAGACAGGGTCTTGCTATGCAGTTCAGGCCGGCCTTGAGCTCACTTTGTAGCCCAGGCTGGCCTTGAACTTGCAATGATCCTCCTGCCTCAGCCTCCCGAGTGCTGGGATTACAGGAGTGTGCCACCATGCCCGGCTGATTATTACCTTTTTTAAAAAAAAATTATTGAGGTTTAGTTTATATACAAGTTAGTTTAAGTGTACAATTTGATTCTTTTTTCTTTCTTTATTTTAATAGTGCTGGGGATTGAACTGAGGGATTTTGATGAAACTCAACTTACTTTTTTTTGTTTTGGTTTGAGACAGGGTCTCACTCTATGTAGTTCAGGCTGGCTTTGAGTTCACTATGTAGCCTGGACTGGGCTCTAACACTGAACTGCATCCCCAGCCCGTTTATTTTTTATTTTCAGAAAGGATCTGCCTGAGTTGTCCAGACTCACCTGAACTTCAGATTTGTCCTCAACCCTCTTGAGTAGCTGGAGATATAGGCGTTTGCCACTGTGTTTGACCAGTTCAAATATTTTTATTAAGTGTTCAGAATTGTGTTACTATTGCTACACTGTAATTTTAGAACATTTCCATCATCCCCAGAAGATCCCGTATATGTCCATTTTCAGTAACTGTTCCTACCCCCATCCCAGATAGTGAGTAATCTGTCTTTATATTTGACTTTTCTGGACAATTTCTATAAATGGGATGTCTGTAAATTAAGTGGTCTTTTGTGACTTCTTTCACTCTGTGTTTTTGAGTTTCACCTATGTTGTATGATGTATCAGTACTTCATTACATTTTATTGCTGATGAGTATTCTGTTGTATGGATATATCACAATTTGTTCACTATTTAATAGATATTTGGATTATTTCTGTTCGTTACTATTTTGAATAGTGTTGCTGTGAACATCATTTAGAGGCCTATGTGTAGATCTGTGTTTTTATTTCTCTGGGATAGAGACCCAGGAATGGAATTTCTGGGAGATACAGTAATTTTTTTTTGATAACGTAAATTTTAAGCTTTTCTAGGAAATACCTAAATGGTGGTTGTACCATTTTACACTCTTATCAGTGATGCATGAGGGTTTCTTTTCTCATCCTTATCAACACAGTTACTGTCCCCCCCCCCCCGTACCTAGAATCGAACTCACGACCTTGCCCAGTTACTGTCTTTTTGATCATAGCCATTTCTAGTGGGTGTGAGGGGGATCATTGTGGTTTTAATACGCATTTCCTGACTGACTACTTTGTGAACATTATTTCATGTGCTTATTGACCATTTGTGTAATTTCTTTAAAGTATCTTGTTCTTATTTTTTTGCTTTTAAAAATATTGGGCTATTTGTTTTCCTATAGATTTTGATCAATTCTTGATATATTCTTGGTATATTTTCTTGAAGTGATATATACTATGTGGTGTGATCAGAATACACGGTGAATGTTTAAAAAGTACTTTACTATATATATCATGTCTTCATGAAGTATGATCAGAAATCCAGTCCATGATGCTGCCAAGTGCCGTCTACAGAAAGATTAAGACATACAGTGTGTCCTCATCTACTTTAGACCTGGCACTGTGTGACTTCTGGCTCTTCCCCAGCATCAAAATGACCATGAAAGGTGAATGTTTTGAGTCGGTTTGGTACGTCAAGGCAGCCAAAAGAGGATTTTCAGAACTAAATCCAAAAGTGGAAAGAATAGTGGGATAATTGTGTTTGAAGCAAGAGGGGAGTGTTTTTACGGGGATTATGGTACTGTCTTTTACTGTGTAATGATTACAATTTAAGTATTGACTGTATCTTTCTATCACACTTTGTGTATTTGCAAGTATTTTCTCCAAGCTTGTAAGATTTTTTTTTTTTTTTTGGTACCGGGAATTGAACTCAGGACCTTGCGCTTGCATAGGCAGGCACTGTGCCGCTGAGCTATGTCCCTGGCCCTTAATAATATCTTTTGATGAAGAATTTTTTGATGAAAACATTTTTTTGAAAATTTTTGATAAATTTTGATGAAACTCAACTTTTTTTTGTTTT